CTTCTGGGAGGCACTGACCTCTGGAGGAGCCCAGGAGAAGGTTGTTGGTCTAGCTGCCTTTCCAGGGCTGTCTTGGAAGTGACTTGCTCTTTAGTTTTCGGCATGTGCACCTCTCCTTCTCACTATGTTAACTGGACAATTCTGGTTTCTGTGATGAAGACTTGCTTGTGCGCCTCCCAAGGCTGGAAAACAGCCTGATCTTTTCATGCAGCTTAGGAAAGTATTTCCTGTTCCAACTGAGTCGGAAATATTTTTTCATCACAGCCTGCAGGTCAAGGAACTACAGGATAGACTCAAGATAGCTCTTGGTTTTAATTTATTTATTTTTCCTTTCTGCAGACTCCTTCCAACTTCTAACTGGGTTGGTTTATCTCATCTGAAGTGTTAAATCAGGTGAAATTCATAAGGAAGCTAAAGCAAATGCCATATTGTTTAGCAGCATCATGTTGGTATTTCTTCAGTCTGAGTTCTAGCCACAAACTCCATGCAGGGCCTGTCTAAGGGGATCACCATCGGCAGCAAACGTGCCCACACCTGAGTTCAGAAAAGTCTTAGCTAGCTAGTGGCAGAAATAGATTTGCAGATGCTACTGAGAGGAGCGGGAGAGACCACTGAATCGTGCTGAGCATCCTCTGGACAGGACCGAGGTGGAGGTTGGTTTGGCGCAGAATGGTTTGATCTCGCCGATTCAAACTCAACTCAGCCTCTTTGATTCTCCTTGAAGCCAAACCACTCTTGAAACCCAACCTGCCGTGCAATTTCCACAGCCCCAGAGGAGTCTGGGGAAGCAAAGAGCAGGGGAGCGTGCTTAAGAGGGTGGATGCAAAGGTTATAAAAAGCTCACAGACCTTAAAGTTCAGAAAGAGCCGTTGCCGAACGTGACCTGCAAACCATGGGCCAGAGAGGCAGAGCCCTCTAAGTGTGATGGGATAAAGCGACACAAAACAACTAGGGTGAAAGCGGCTGGCATCTCTTCAGCTGCAATCTGGTGTCAGTGAAGGAGTTAGCAGGAGGACCTTGCTGAGTCAGAATCGCTTTGCGTGGGACCGTGTTTGACAGCGCCGTGGCTGGGTGACTTGGCAGCAAGTTACTTGCCCGTAATTGCTGTGCTGACGCTTTCATAATTAAGTTCTTGTGTGAGAAAGGGAGGCATGCAGCCACTCATGGTGCTTGGGAAGCTGTGCAGGGCTAAAATTAGTCTTTTATTATTATTGTTACTATTATGGACTTGGGCTGGAGTGGGTGTAAGGGGAAGATCAGTGGTCCTGGGGAAAAGATTCACCCTGACGCTTCACGCTGAATGGCATGGGTTTTTCTGTGGGAGATGATTGACCAGATCATGTGTGTGGCAACATAGGAAGCTCAGATTGCCATGACGTAGAAAAGGGCACAAGATGAGGTTGCAACACATTTTCTTCAGTGGAGTAAAAAAAAGCTTCCTCTCTTTCTAAGTAAAAAAAAAGAGAGGAAGGAAAAATTAGATTATTCTCAGCAGTCTGCTGTCCTACATGTTTTGCCTTTGCTGTTGTCTGCTTTTTAGAGATCAATTCATCTTACTTAAGAATAAAACGGGGATTTACGTGCTGGTGCAAACTCTGATTTTCCTTCCAGAGGAACTATCATTATTCAGATAATGTGCTCCTCTCACCTTATTTTTCCTAGAAAAACGGAATTGGCTAATGTAACCCAGCCTCACCAGTTCATCTTTTTCCATGTGGCACTCAAGGGCTCCAACTCCATTTTCTATTTCTTTCAACAAACAGTGGCACGCTGTACTTAGAGCAGGTTTTATATTCTTGACAGTCCCGTACTCATTGATTTGAAAGCAGGAGAAGCCACTTTGAAACATGCTACTTGTGTGTGTTACCCTAGGTAGAGCAAGTTGGGTTTTAAACCAAAAGGTAGCACTGTAGCTGCTTTTTTAAATTTACTATATCGGAGCAAAACTGTATCAGGGCTATAAGATAGCTGCACTTACACTTTGTGTCCTGTGGCTGTTGCAGATGGGGAAGCCCATGTCCCAAGCAGCTGATGTGCCTTGGGTTCTCATAATGAATGAAGAAGATTCTTCCTTTTGCCTGCACAGCCCATGAGCAATTCTCCTCTTTGCTTGTGCTGCCTGCAACTCCTCTGCCAGAAAAACTGCCCTATTTTTGCCATTTTTTGTACTTCAGCTTCCTTGTCTCCTGTTCTCAGACACGGAGGTCATGTTCTCCTGGTTCTGTTCCCGTCTTGGAGCTGCTACTGTCAGACCTTCTCTATGGGGACAGAAGAGGAGCTTCCCCATTGCACGCTGTCAGCCACGGGCACCCTGGATGGGACTTTAAAACGCTGGTGTCGACTTGCAATAATTCAGATCCAGAAATAACCTTTCTCTCTCAATGTTATCACCAAGGTGTGAGATATATATGTAATGGGGATATGCTCAACACCTGGAGGAAAAGCTGGGCCATCTGCAAGGAAGCAAAGGGCAGGAGATAGGAACCAACTTAGACATGAGAATATTTGTTTAGAAGCTGTTATTAAAATATTAGTGTGCTCCCCCCCTGTGGGTAAAAATGAGAAGAGGCAAACCTGAACTGTTCAGCATCCATGCACAAAGCTCTTGCACAACGAGGGAATAAGGTGAAATGTGATGGAAGAAGCCTTTGGTGGAGGATGTGGACTCATGGTGACAGAACAATAGTGTTTGGAGTGGGCTGCAGAGGAGAGAGGAAAATGTTCTCCCTACATTGCAGGTCGTTCCACGAGAAACGGTGTTTGCTACTCAGGCAATGGTCAAGGCATTTAGGGCAGACCTGGTAGAAGCCTTAAAATCTGAAGTTGTGCTTATTTTGGTGGACTCGTGGCTTCTGCCAGTGAAAGGGGGCATAATCGAATAGAAGGATCAGCCACAATGCCGGCAGAGGCTGCCTCATTCAGGCAGGACAGTCATTCTTCCTTTTGAGCCGCCGGTTGTGTGGGAGAGGGAAGGATCATGACTGATGCGGTGGGTGGACCTTGGGGTGGAGGAGGAAGCTGTGGAGCACACGCTGGGACATCATAAATAGTCACCCATGGGTGATGTCTCCATAACAGGGCTCATCTGAGGGGTGGACGCTGCTGGCTCCACGTGGCATCGCTCCCAGGTAAGCCGGGAAGGCGGGAGGACAGGTTCCCTGGGCTTCGCTTGAATCCCCTTGCTTTTGGCCATGGAGACATGCTGGCAGGAAGGGAGTCTTTTCTTTCGAGTGTCCTAACAGAGACTGGTTCAGCTGCACTTTTGCTTTACCTCCCCTTACAGAGGGGTTTGTCTGTCTGTATTGACTGAGGTAGAAGAAAGCAGCTAATGCAAACTTGCTTCTTGCTCAAGGGGAGTGTTGGGGGGACAGCAAGCCATGGAGATCTTGCTGAGGGAAGGCCTCCTGCCTTCCCTAGGGAGAGGGCAGCAGTGGAGGGGAAGGAGTGTCCTTGGCAAGGTTAAGGAGAGATTGCAGAAGACCACCCCTGGCTGGTGAGAGCAGCCCATGCTCTGAGCTCCAGAGGAGCAAGAGCTGGAAGGTCCTCCTAAGTGGGGAGGTGGGACTCAGCACTGGATGCTCGTGGCTCTGGGGGGACAACCACGCACAATCCCTGGACTGCAGGTGGGACTGCAGCAAGGGCGAGAGGCCCTAAATTCCTTATAACCAAGGCAGGGAGGATAGAAAGCAGAGAGGAGGCAAAGCTCCAGGGTGGGTGGAGCTGGTGGTCCACCTTGGGCTTCTTGGCTTTGTGTCCTCTCCATGCAGCAGGGTTTTGCAGCCCTGTTCCTCCATATTCAGCCCTCCCTGGCCCCCAGCAGCCTGCCGGGGCTGGCGTGGCTGGTCTCTAGCAGGTCACAGTGATGTGAAGCCCTGTTGGGCTGGTGCCCCCCAGCCTCTCTGGCCATTCAGGGGCTGGATGCATAGCCTGAGCTGCTCCTCCCCATCACTCATGCGAGGGGGGATGAGGCAGCTCTTCCCACGGAAACAACCATGTGGTGCCTGTTCGCTTCTGCTTTTGCAAAGCCAGAGCGAGCCTGAAATAGATTAGCCACTGTGAGAAGCAGCTTGATTCAGGGAGCTTGTGCAAAACAGGTTGCAAGCCACTGGGAAAGGGGAAAATACATAAAACCAACCTGAAGCAAAAATGAACACAGAGTAGAAGAAACCTGGGAAGCTGGGACAACAGCAAACCAGGTTGTTTTCAGCAGTCCCAGAGCGATCGATGGACATTCCCCCTCTTGCCAGGTACAGAAGAGGGAGAGCTAATTTTTGACAAGGTATCACCTGGAGATGGGCAGGCACTTTCTAGGTGAACTGATAACTTAATAAAATGCCAGCAGAGCTGGATGGCTTGCCCGAGGATAGTTGATAACCTTTCCTTAATTAACTGTAATTGGTTTCAGCATATTCAGACATACGGTAGGACTAGTGTGTGATGGGGATGGAGTTGCTGTTGGATTTGATTGGAGACTGATGTGCTTTCACAAGTCCTTGTCCAAAGATTTTGCCCCTTTCCTGGCCCCCTCCTGCTCATTGTAAGCACTCAAATTCAAACTGAGCCACAGTGGTTGGTCTCCTTCCTGCAGTAACATTTTGGAGGAGCCGACCCTGCGGGTCGCACAGGTTTCAAGGTTTCTTAAACTCCCTTGCCCATTTGGCAAAGAAATATTAGCAGGTCTGAAGCTGGGCTTCTCCTTCTATAATAAAAGAGCTCAACCTCAAGAAAACTGTTTGGTGGCAGTAGATCAGTATTAACACTGAATTTATTTTTAATATTTAATTAATCAGATGGTGTGGGGAAAATAGGATTTCCGTTGGAAATTGCTCTCAAGTAAGGGCAGTGCTGGTGGGGTAGGCTGGGACCCAAAAGCATGAACCAGCAAACTCCTGTCCACCCGCAGCTGTGAGATGGGCTCGGGGTGGGGGAGCCGTGGGGCATCGCAGGGCTGAAGGCAGCCCCTCCTCTCCTCTTCCTCCCCATCCCTGTGCAGGGTGGCCATGTGTGTGGGGAAATGCAGCCGGATCGTGGGTCCCTGCCTGCTGGTGCTGGGCACGCTCTCTGTGGCAGCCAACATCCTCCTGCTCTTCCCCGGCTGGGCGTTGAAGTACCTGGCAGAGGGGCACATCAGCAAGCACGCCAAGGCCATGCCGGGCATCTGGGGAGGCGGCATCGCCGTGAGTACTGCAGTTTCCACCGCGTCCTTCCTTGCATGTCTGTGGAGCAGGGAGGAAGGGATGGAGCAGGTGGCTCCCCTTCATCCCCCATCCATTTTTTCCTTCCCACAGGTGCTGCTGGCAGCGACCCACATCACAGCGGTGGGGTGGCGATGCACTGGCTGCTCCGACTGCGGCACCCGTCGCAACGTAAGGCAGTGTCGGGACCCCCGTGCCAAAGCAGTCCCAAGCGGCGTGTGGTGGGACGTGGCAGTGTGCCACCTCTCCTATGGCCCTGCGGTGGGATGTGGTGGGTGGCCCCTCTCCTGTGGCGGGTTGTGGCAGGGTGCTACCTCTCCCATGGCCCCGTGGTGGGACATGGCACAGATCCCCCTCTCCCCTGGTCCTGTGGTGGGACATGGTATGGTGCCCCCTCTCCCATGCTGGGTCATGGCATGGATGCCCCTCTCCTGTGGCCCCATGGTAGGATGTGGCAGGGTGTCACCTCTCCCGTGGCAAGATGCTGCATGGTGCCACCTCACCAGAGGACAGGGCTTCCCGTGCATGCTGGCATGGGCTCTGCCCCACCAGGCTCCATGTGGCAGGTCCCTGCCAGTCCCCACTCCCTGCCTGCTTCTGCCCAGCTTGACAACTCCATCCTCAGCCTTGGCTCCCTGGGGCTGAAGCCCCTTGGGGTGAAGGGGAGTGGAGTTCTGCCCCCTTATCAAACTCTGCTGCTAACACACAGACGCGTTTTGGAGCCCGCCTGACTTTCGGTCCCTGCCCTTCCCGGGTGCTGCCTACAGGCTTTCATCTCTGCTGTGCTCTCCAAGCTGGCGCTCCTGGGTGCTGCTGCCTGCTTTGTCCTCTCCGGGGTGGGTTTGACCAATGGACCCCTCTGCTTCTACAACGCCTCGGAGCACGGCCATGGGCATGGCACCCTCTGGGGTTACCCCTTCCTGGATGCCGGCAGCCAGGAGCTTGATGCCAGGTGAGGCAGTGGGGTTGAGTCACCAGTGCCGCCTCATCAGCTTATTGCTAATTAAGTTGGTGTTATTTATGGTGGGTGGGCTTGCTGGTGGTGGTGCAAGACCCCGGTAGCTCAAGAGGTCCACCTTCCATGGTTTTCTACGTGGTGCTTCCCATCCCCATCACCCTGCTGACCCTGCTTATCCTCGGGATGAAGGACGGGGTGTCTGGGGCACACCTCCAGGGTGCTAAGTGATGCAATTCCTGACCTGCTGCAGGGCAGCATCTTGCATCTCCTCCTCTCCTCGTCGTGCAGGACAGAGAACTACCTGCATGATCGTCACACCTGGAGCATCTGTCTGGAGCCGGTGGGTGTCGTGGCCTGGAACGTCGTCCTCTTCTCCCTCCTGCTGCTTGTCAGCGCCACCGAGATGGTGCTGGCCTCCCTCCAGATCCTCAATGGCTGCCTTGGGTGCCTCTGCGGCTTTTGCGAGGGGAAGTAAGGACCTGTGATGGTGCCAGGAGGCTGGTGCTCGGAGGAGGTGTCATCCCCGGGTGTCCCTCTGCCAGTGGCAAATGCCGTGGTGGGGATACAGCACAAGCTGTGATACCAGCCCGGTGCAAAACAGACAGACAGACTCCCCCATGGGGGACAGACACGCCGGCCTGCACAAGATGTTGAAGTGACGTGTGTGGGGTCAGTGTGCAAAGGGCTGCCTCCATACAGAGTCCTCTGCCTGTGCGATACCTCTTCCTCCACCCTGGAGTGCATGCCTTTGGAGCTGGCAGCCATTTGGTGTTGGAAACCAGTCCGGTGAGCGATAGAGGTAAGGACCTGGCTCCTGGCATCCCGGCATGAGCCCAATGGCTTCCCCAGCCACTCCTCATCAGCCTCCACCCACCCGAGTGCAAAATGTGATACGGTGGTATTTGTAGAGATAAGAGCTGGAACACTAACTTATTTTCGTTAATCAATCTGTATTTAGGGCAGCTTGTGTTGCTGTTTGTCTCTCGCGCAGGGCAGGAGGGACGAAGGAGACTGGAGGAGCCGAGCCGGGCTCCGGCTGAGGCTGGGGGACTTGGATGGAGTCGTGCTGAAGGAGGTAGTGCTGGAAATGAGGTGTAGTCCCCCAGAGTTCACCCATATGCACACACACACACATGCATGCAGCAACTGTTAGGAGCAGCATCGCATCCCCACCGGCCCAGGACCTCATCGCACCACCTGCTGCTGCACTCGCAGGGGGTGTCACTGGCTTCAGCGCATCCCCCATCCCCACGTGGGGATACAGGGACTGAGTGTGGGTACAGGCCTGAACCTGCCTGTGCTGGGAGGATGTTTGCCCCAAAACTGATAAGGTTCAGAGGAAAGTAGCAATGTCCATGGTAGCTTAAAAAAACCAAAAACAAACAATCAGCCAGATTAAACAGCAACTGGGTGATTTTGGAGAGACTGTTGAGAAACAGAGGAATTGGCTTGAACAGGATGATTAAAAAGGAGCAATAAAAAAAAGGAACATAAATATTTATGACCATAGGAGGAAAACCCTTGGAGCAGGGTGGTAGTACCAGGTATGGCACAGCCGGAGCATTATGTCCCCCCGACCTGGCACACACGGGTGGCATGGGGTGCCCCTGACTGCTTTCTCCCCTGCATTGCTGCTGTTGCCTCCCATTATGTATTCCATGGAGTGGCTCATGTGCTCAGAAAGGAGCCTGGGGCTGGTGGCACAAGCCTCCATGCCCAACCAACTATATAATTAAAAAATAGCAATAAAAATGAGATAAAACCCAATTTTGGGACAGTAGCGCATGCCTTTTCTGTGATGTGGCCATGCTGGCCCATGGCAGGACCCCAGGCTGTGAGCATCCTGGTGCGCTGGGCTCTGGGTTGGTGCCCCGGGGTCTGGCACTGGGCGACCAGGGGGAGCCGACCTGGGGGGGTACTAGGAGACAAGGCAGCTCCTTCGCCCCTGCTTTCTGCGGTGTGGGGGACCACTGTCCCTCCAGGGAGCAGTGGCTGTCAGGGGGATGTTCTGGAGCACATCGTGCAGTGTGAACATGCTGAAGGAGATCTGCTCATAGGGTGACCGTGTCCCGTTCTCGTAGAGGCAGGCGAAAGCGATGGCCGGGCCACCAGAGATGGAGGCCTCGTTGTAGGGCAGCTCCATGTAAGCCAGGTCTGAGTAAGCGCTTGGGCCCTCATAGATGACCCACGGCTCAGTCCAGCTCTCTGCATCCCTGGGGAAGGTGCTCAGGTGAACCCCCATGTTGACCCGTGACATGGGGCTGGTGGGGTGGGAGTAGAGGACCCATGTTGGAGCTTGGAAGAAGGCAGCAGGGCTGGGAGTTGCCCTGGGGTCCCCTCGGACCGAGGTGCTGCTGTGGGCATGGCCGTGATGCCCTGGGAAAGGACAGCCCTCCTTGGGCTCAGCTGGCTCGTGGTGGCTGCCAGTGGCCAAGGCAGGCAGCTCATCACCTGCTGCTCGCTGGACAGGCAGGTAGCGAAACCTGGGGAGCATCCTGGGGAGCAGCCGGTGAGCCGAGCCTTGGAGGGGAATCACGGTGTCCCGGGAGGCATCAGGGACATAGACGAAAGGTGCAGGGAAGCCGACAACACTGCCATGACAGCCATGGGGGGGCTCGACCAGCCGCTGGACCAGCTGCCCCCCGTGGAAGACAGCCCCGTCATCCGTGCTGAGCGCCTGGACCCTGAAGCCCAAGGGGCTGCGGGCGTTGCAGTAGAGGACGTTGGAGCCATCCTCCTCGTCCACCGAGACCAGTTGGCACTCACCCGTCTGCAGGTTGGGGATGAACTCCCCGAAGCGCCAGCCCCGGCCGTGGTCATCGCTGTAGAAGGCGAAGGAGTGAGGGGTGGTCTTGCAGAGCTGCCCGAAGCACTCTTTGCAGTCAATGTGGTAGCTGTAGGCAGGCACCAGCAGCCGGCCGGACCGCAGCTGGATCCCGTGCCCAGGGCCCAGCGCAAATGTCGCCCAGTCTGGGGAGCAGAGGACGGATGGGGGTGAAGAGTGGCCTCCATGGTGCCCCTACCATGCCCAATGTGGATGGGTCTCCAGAGCATCCCCCCAGCCTAGCCAAGCAAAGTGGTGGGGTGGGAGGGCAGCAGAGCCCAGTGCTGCCTGGTTGTCCTTGCGCATGGTCCTACCCATAGCTATGGGGCCTCTCCATCTCCTCTCTCCCTGTGCAAGCAACGCAGACACTCCCTCCATCCACTCTCCCCTCTGTTTGGGGTCCTCTCCCCCCCCATCTCTGCTCTTGGATGCTGTCCTGGTTTCGGCAGGGATAGAGTTAATTTCCTTCCTAGTAGCTGGTACAGTGCTGTGTTTTGGATTTAGGGTGAGAACAATGTTGATAACACACCGATGTTTTTAGTTGTTGCTAGGTAGTGTTTATACTAGTCAAGGACTTCTCAGCTCCCCATGCTCTACCGACTGAGAAGGCTGGAGGTGCACAAGAAGCTGGGAGGGGGCACAGCCAGGACAGCTGACCCAAACTGGCCAACAGGTCCATACCATGTGACGTCATGCGCAGCATATAAAGCTGGGGAAGAAGAAGGATGCTCGGGACTGGCTGGGCATCGGTCGGCAGGTGGTGAGCAATTGTACTGTGCATCACTTGCTTTGTGTATTATTATTATTATTATCATATTATTATTATTATCATTATCATTTTATTTCAATTATTAAACTTTTATCTCAACCCATGATTTTTTCTCACTTGTGCTCTTCCAATTCTCTCCCCCATCCCACCGGGGGGGTGGGGGGGGAGTGAGCGAGCGGCTGCGTGGTGCTCAGTTGCCAACTGAGGTTAAACCACGACAGATGCTTGTGGGCTCCCTACCCCGAGGCCACCTCTGGCAGCACCATAGGTGGCTCCAGGAGGCCAAAACCCATGGTTGCCTTCCTGCTGGCTGTCCTCCCCCCTCCTCACCCCTCTCCAGTGGGCTACCTTTGATGGCCCCACCAATGACCTGCTGCGTCAGGTCTGTGGCCATGCTCCAGCTCAGGCCCTGGTCAGCACTGGTGACGCAGCAGAGGCGGGTGACGTTTTGGCCGGTGACAATCTGGTAGGCTTCAGGTGTCCTGCCCAGCACCGTGATGAAGAAAAGGAAGAGGGTGCCAGTGAACTTGTCATAGAGCGGGCAGGGGTTCATCGACCGGTGGTGCTGCAGCGTCGCCGTCTCCAGCACGCGCATGTCTTCCCACTGCCCCGGGAGGAAGAGAGGATGGAGAGGGGTGAGGACTACCCCACTTCGCCCAATGCAGTGTTCCTTTCCCGTGTGGGTGCCTTCAGGAGCTCAGCTGTGCCATGCACAAGCGGTGGAGGATAACCACCTGGCTGTCCCGTGCCCGCAGCCCAGCATGTCCCCCCAACCCCAGGTGCATCCCTTGTCCCACCTCCACGTAGCTCCTGTAGACGGGGCCACGGCGCAG